CAGTCTACAGACTCTCGCGCTTCTCGTCCAAGTTAAGACACAGCAAAGTAGCCCATCCCCGACTGGGCATGGGTTAATGCACTCTCCTTTTATTGGCTTTAGGACATGCTAGTCAACTTATTTACAGCAATACCCGTTTCAGTATTTGAACTTGTGTAAAATGAGATGTTCTCACTTTTACCAAAATAATGAATGATGAAGGGTGCAACCGTGCAAACAATGAGAAAGTTGGCACACAACGCATTGGCGTGGTCCTTACTGTAACGTCACGTTAATACAAATGCTAAACGGTGTTCGTTGTTCGTTCAGATAGACTTATATTAGATGCTGCTGAAACAAAAATGTTTATCATCAGATTTCAGAACACACACACACACACACACACCCCAATTTAAAGAATGTCTTTGAGATACTATAAAACAACTCATCAAAATGAACAGCGATGCACGGATTGTAAACGTATGCGTATCATTCCTTTGAGTCGGATCTTATTAATGAACCGGTTCAGAAAACCCGACTGAACGATTAGTTCATCGTGTGTTCATCAACGTAAATACACATCTTGCCGACAGTGTCGCACCTGAGTCAAGTTCGTCCCATTTACTGTTACTGTGTTCGATTATTATTATTATTATTAGCCTATATTGTATTTATTTTTAATGATTGTCTTGTGGTGCCCTCTTCAGGTCAAGATATTACTGGCACAGCGACAGCTGGATTGACTATGGAAACTGTCATGGTAATTGCCTTTAAATCATTTCCTAGTCGAGAAGTTTTATTTATTAATCTTTTCCTTTTTGACATGCTGTAACATGTTTGTATCATCGTTATGATTATGATTGTATTATTTTGTGATATTTCTTACATGACGTGTGCTTTAATTCATGTGACGTAGCCTATTTATTCAGAACCTACCTTTAATCCAATTTTTAAACATGACTCACTAGTTCTAGTATCAGTAGTGTCCAGTAAATACATTTGTGAATGCTATACATATGTAGTTGGTCCAGATGAAAATCTCATTTGTGTCAATACAACTTTTTTAAAAGCGTACTCAATCATTAATTTGTTAGGCCTACTGTGGCCTACTAGATGTGGCAGTCCTGATCATGTTTTAGACTGCTGGACTCAGTGAGATGAGATGGTTTTGGACCATCAGAGCAACAAAAATCACTGATCTGCGAAAAAAATAAATGACACACTTAACAGTGATAAAAGACCATTATGCAAAATTGGAGAACAATATTCAGCCTTAAAGGAATAGTTCTCTAAAATCTCAATTCTGCCATTATTTACTCATCCTCACGCCATTTCAAACCTGTTTGACGACTTTTGCGGAACAAACTATTGTTTTAAAGAATATCTTAGAACATTTTAGATTAATTTACAATTAATAGAGTATCTCAATATACAGTACAGTATCTCATGGTCTTAATTGTGCCCTGTCTGTTGAGGAAGGAAGTTTTACATTATGTACGTTTTTTTTAGAGTATTTATTTAAAGTAGTCAAAATTCAAATGCCACACACAATATACTTCCCTTGTCTAATAATAACATTAGCCATGTTTCTTAAAATTAGGTTATTTAGTAGGTTATTTTTTGGAGTCGTGTTTTCTAATTTTCTCCCACAACTACTAAAATTATTTAATTTGAATAATAGACCGTTTTTGTACATTTTGGAAAAATATTTAGCAATTATAGCGGTGCTTATGTTAAAACACCACAAAGAAGAAAAATAATGCTATGAAATCACAATTATTTGTAACAAAGCAAAATCATACTTTTTCTTTCTTGCAGAAATTGGTACATTGTATTTTTGAAGTCTCTAATGAGACCTGCCTTAACAGATTTGTATTTATTGTTAGATTTTGTATAGCAACATTTAACTGGTAAACTGTACATTTGTTTGTATTGAAAGCCCTTTATATACCTTGATATTAAGCACTTACCATTCCATTTTCTGGACTAAAAATATCAAGCTTAATACTTTTTAGACTGTATTATTTATTGAATGAGTTTTTTTTCTTTAAATCTGATGTTACGTTTGGTATTAAACTGTAAAGATATTTCTTTAAATGTAACTAGCCATGATCTGTTGACCTTTTTCACATTCTGAATATACACCACCAGATGGCAATAAAACATTAAGAAACAGTTGAATGAGATGGCGTACGGTCTGACCTGCTAAAAATGCAAACATATCTGTTTCCCAGACAGATTACAGTTCATTTAGGTGTGTAAATAGAGATCATTCTGCTCTCAGTATGAGGTCACAACCTTTTGACTGTTTTCTCTTACAACAGTCAAATCTTTTTTTTGCTTCAAGTGTTTAACCACATAATCAGTTTCCAGTCCTACACTGTATTAATTCTTAGAACAGTTTTCCCTATAATATACGTGCTCACAATCTCATTTTACGTGAGAGGAGCTCTTCATAATCCTCCCACACTTCGTGTGAATCCAATCAAACTTGGCACAGTCCATCACTCTTTTGTCATTTACCTCGAAAAAAGGTTTGTGGGTGTGCTGGTGACTCCCTTAACGGGACTCAAACGTGGTTTTGTGGAGGAAAGCGCACCGGTCTCACCCTTCATAATGCTATACAGGCCCCATTCTGACGTTCACATGGGACACCTAAACAAATGATAAACCGCTGCACGGTGCCCTCCAAGGCGATGACTGAACAAGGTCATATAGGAGATGGTGACTGTTATGCAATCATTTGTGCATTTGCTCCAGGCAGATCCCAGGTTAATTTTTGGATGATATATTCCTTTACAGGGGTTGTTCACGTAAAAAAATATTTTGATGACGTTGCAAGCCTGTGTGACTTTCTGCTACAGAACACAAAAGAAGATACTGGGGGGGGGGGGGGGGGGGGGGGGGGATGAGGGAGAGTCTATTTTTGGGAGTCCAAAACAACTGCTATCCACTACCTATTTATTTATTCAGTGAGCTGAGTTGATAGGAAGAGAATCTGCTGTTTTGTGTCAAGTAACTTCAACTAACCAGTTTTAAACAGCAGGTGATTCTTAATGGGATAATTTCCCATATCTGAGGTTTAAGCACAGTAAATGCATGTACATGATTATCATTCTGATTAAAACAGGTGCATGTTTGCGGCAACTTACTCTGTGGCATAATTTATTTGACTTTTCTTAATAGCCGACCATCCTATTGCTTGATCTACATCTCTGGAGTTGGAATCCCCTGCTGTGAATATGTAATAGGTAGACTAATTGTGATAGAAAGAAAAAGAGGTTGCACTGTTCTCTGCTGTGTGAAATTAAATTGGTATGAGAAACGTGAATGGATCAGCGTGTGACTGTCTCTGCCTGCCATCCCTGCTGGCTGTGGGACATGGCTGGACCTCGGGCAGTCGATGTCCAACTTGGCTCTATTGCTTCCATTCATGGCTCAATAGGTAGTCCTTCCTTTTGTGGAGCCTAAACAGATTAACACAAATTCATCCAACTGCATAGATAAGATGCTCCCTAGCTTGTTGGCCTCATAATGGCTATTGTTAGAAAACTGGAAACCTACAGCACGGAAGTCTGCTTAGTTTAGCGGCTTGAATCTCCATTGTTTCAAAAACAAATCTGATATACATGTTGTAAACATGGCTTTTTGCATAACATATTCAGTTTTGACAGTTACACTTATGAAGCCTACAGCAATGGTTGTCACCTAGGGGGCCTCAGCAAACTTCTAAAGAGACAAAAATATATATATATATAAAATAAAATATTATATTTATATGGTATGCAATCTTATTTTAAATATTCAAAAGAAAATATAATATATATATATATTTAAAGTTAACTTTAAATCTGAACAACTGAAGGAAATCCCTCAGTTAATTTAAAGTTACATTAAAACAATCTTAAACATAACTGAAATACTAAAAAAACAAGATAAAATGCTTACAACCTATAAACTAACATTGCATTTTCCCCTCTGGCTCTTGCTTAGACTGTTTTCACAATTCTATGTTGATTTAGGTTTGATTTTTATTAACTATCTCAAGTATGCTGTACACTTCTTAGCTGTCCATCGTGTTCGATGATGACGCTTGCTCCAGAGATGGGAGTGGGAAGGGGATGGGTTTAGCGATGTTGCCGCTGGTGCCACTTCTCGTGGGCATTGAGTCCAATCCTTGAGCCGCACACTCTTCTGCAGATGGAGCAAGGGAAACCAGATACCAGGGGGGTACCAGCCGCCCTCTGGTGTCTCTTAGTGCGTCTCTCGGATCGTCGGTCTTGGTTGGTTTGATGTATTTGAGAGACTGCAGTGGCACAGGTGACCTGCCAGGCTGACCTGTCAAGTGCCAGAGATTCACGCTGCGTGAGGGGAATGTTCGCTCGCTTTAGGAGGTCCCTGGTGTAGTCCTTAAAGCGCCGTTTTTGCCCTCCAGCAGAGCGCTTTGCGCCCATTAGTTGACTATAGAGGACTTGGCGGGGCAGGCGATGTTCAGGCATGCGTATGGTGTGCCCTAGCCAACGCAGATGTTTTTGGGCCACTGCTGCTTCCATGCAGATTGAGTCCGTATTGCTGAGGATGACTGTGTGGGGAATTCGAGCTTCCCAGGACAAATTGAGGATCTTCTGTAGGCAGCGGATATGGAAGGCCTCTAGGTTAATAATGTGCTGGCGGTATGGGGTCCATGACTCTGCCCCATAAAGCAGAGTGGAGAGACATACCGACACACACACACACACACACACAAACAAACAAGTCATTATGTTTTAGAGAATGCATACCTTTTTTCCTAATTTATTAACCAATATAAATCACACCATTAGCCTAATTCCTCTCTGTTATGGAAGCTGCTTGTCTTTAGTAGCCAGGCTAAAGAGATTACGGTGTATATAGCCTGAGAACACCAGGACGATTAGAGCTCAACTTCTCGAAAGCCCCGCATGGGGGCGTCGTTCGCACACTTTCAAGTACACTACGCATACTCGAGCGCCAGAAAGTGCGCTCGCGGAGAGATAGAAACATCGCTTGGAACTGTTTATCCTGACGTCAGTTTGAACAGCTCGCACTGCCCCCGTATCACTTCACGCGACTCTGAACTGAGCTTCGGCTGGATTTCGGGAATCGGTGAACGGGAGAGAGTCCACAACTTCACCATCCAAACTACTGGAGCCACTGAAATGATCTCGGCTTGTTTTCCTAACTGGACTAATAACATAAAATGAATACCTGCGCATTTCTCCTGATCCTGGCTGTTCAGATTCACGCCGACAGCGTAGAGGGACCAACAGGTAAAGTCCCGTTTGTCTGGAGTTACAGAGACTGCGCACTTTCAAACTTGTGTGTGTTTTGAGGATATGAAAAGCATAAACGTATTGTCTTGACAGCAAAAGTAGGCTGAGTTGTACTTTGAAGCCGCTATAAACTTTTCTGATAGCGGCGAGATTTGATCTCGGTTGTCATAAAAACAGTCGAGATGTAAGTTCATCAGAAGCTTAAAATGAATGGGTGTTTCGGGCTGTTTGCTATTTGGCAAAAGACTCCTGTTTATACATTCCCTCAGTTATTCAGATTGACATGATTCATAGTGTGGGTCTTTGAATTATTGTTATAGTATTTTTCATTGAAAACACACGTCTGGAAGTTGTTCGGTATAAAGTAAACAAGTACAGTCTCATCTGAGAAGCTGTAAATCGGTGGTTGAATTAACGAAGCGTTTGTGGCGGCACCAGACGTGTTATAAAGGCAGTGAGGTGGCTCATAAATGTGTGTTTTTATATCAAATTCACGTCAGAAGGATTTTCAGTGAGGTGAATTAACCGCTAGCAACATTTAAGTTATTTTTTGTTTTAACTGAATCAACTTTTGGTGGGCGTTCGTTGCCTAAAGATTGTATTTAGCTACGAAATAATCATCATACACGTTTCACCAGAAGATGTCCCCCCCCCTTACAGGGAAGTATATGTGCAGAGTAATATGAAGTACAGTGATGAAACCTACTGCGCTCTTTATTGCTGATATCCGGTTATGCTTATGAATGATCACAGCTGGTTTATGAGTTGTTCACGCACTGTAGGGTCAAAGAGGCTATTATCTCTTCTTCAAATTATGTTTCTTAATCAGTGTAATAACAAAGCTATCTTTTTAACGTCCATCTTGAGTTTGGCGCCACTCTGTCATTTTTTTTTACTGTATAAGAGATGGGGGAATAAATAGTTGGTTTACTGGTCTTGTCTAGTTTAAGAGGGTCTGACTAAGCTGATGTTCATCTGGCTTAGCTGTGTGTGCACAAAACCAGCCTACTGGCCAGGCTGGGAGACCTAAGCAAAGCGGGTTATCTATTTATTTGTTTATTTGCAAGGCAATGTGAAGAATGGGGTAAATCAAATGTACATTTTAATTAAGAAAATGTTCAAATTGTGCACATTAAAGTGAATCATATTTACCATCTAATAGTGTTTCTCCCTCCTGAAAAATACAGCAGCTGGTTTTAACTGGTTCATGTTGGTCTCCCAGTCTGGTCAAGCAGCATGCTCAGCTGGTTTAGCTAGAAGGCCTTTAGAACACCTCTGAAACAAACCTGAACCTGACCAGACATGGAGACCAGCAAACCTTTTTGCCTTTTGTACATTACATTATTTTCCGTTATTTAGTTATCCCCGTTTTTTTTTTTTTTAAAGCTGTTTTCATCATGAGGAGTGTTGGCTGTTCTTCACAGTTTTTGATATCAGGTTTTACTATCCTCATAGCCATAACCCGATCCGCACATGCTCCGAGATTATGAACTGCTTCCTCCTCCACACTTGTCAGTGGGCTGTATGAAGACAGAGCAGATACAGGGTGCCGCGTGTGGTTGCTCATAATGGACCACTCCCTCTGAGCCAGGCTGTAGGAAACATGTCGCATGATTCGGCCAAGAAACTTGACAAACAATCATGATCCGTTTGAGGAAGCTATTGATTTTCAGTTAACTGAATGACTTCCATTTAGCAAGCTGTCAGGTAGCTGTAGGGTTCTGTAACTACTGCTGTGGTCTGTGCATTCCCTCTGTTCTTCAGCTGCAGTTCTTAGTTTCTGTTGGGTTTTGGCCTGATTTACACAGTGTAATCCACTCTTACTGTTTTCGACTGCTGTTTCCGCCATTGTTTTTTTCAGCACAGAAGGCAGCGATGAGTGACCTGATGTGAGATGAATACAGGCATTGTAACCAAGTGTCTACTTCATCTTTAGCTCTTCACACCCTCCCTGTCAAGCTACATGCTTTCCTTTTGTGAGTGGTGCATCATTATTTTGACTTTGTAATATGATCGCAATGAATGGATGAACTTTATAAGGAATGATGACTTAATTAAAAAAGAATTGAATGGTTTGTAAAAAACGCATAAAAGCACAAAATCCTTCAACATTCATATAAAAGTATTTTTATTACTTATCTATTAAAAAAATACATAAAATATATATTTTTAAAGCAATGTGCGGGTGAGATTGCTTTGACAGTTAAAAATGCACTGGAATCAGTAATGAGGTTAATAATTAAGATTAAGATGATTTTTTTTCTTACTTCTGAATAACATGTAATGATCACGTAGCTGACCTCCCAGTGATTACGATGGATATGTTCGCAATCCAAACTGCGTCGCTATGGAACTGACACAAGCAAATGTCTCTCATAATAAGGGGAATGAAGCACATCATTAGGATGAATAGGGAAATAATTAAAGCACATGAAGATAATTATACTAAAGCTGAGACAGAATGGGGCAGCTTCACATTTGCTGCATTGTGATGGAGTCTCTGGAGGCTTGACATGCAGTGCTCTTTGTTGGGATGTGCAGCTATGCTCTATTCTGATGTATTGGCATCTGGAATAATCTGTTAAAGTCAGATATAATCTAGCATAATATTGTGTTTATTGCTCAATGTGTGTTGTGGGTTTAGAAGGAGTTGACATAATGTGGGTTTTGTTGATAATATTGAGAGAAATTATGATTTTCTTAAAATAAAGTAAACAGTTTACACAATACAGCTGCTGAATGTGACTTTTTAATGTGGCCTACCATAAGAATGGAATAAATAATCTTAAATAGCCAGATATAAGCAGTTTAAAATGATTTTAATGATTATCATGTCATGTGACCCCACATTATTTCTAGGTAGGAAAGTTTCTTTATTGCATTTATTAATGGTATGCCACATTTAATGATTGTGGGACAAGAAAGTTTAGCACCTGTTTTAAAAGTAATTAAAATTAATTAAAATTAATTATTTTGGTGTTACTTGTAGCATGTAGACATCTGGACTTTTAAAGTGAGTGTTTATTTCCTCCCACTAATATATCAGTTATCAGCTTTAAAATATAATGAATTATCATTATAAGTACCAGACAAAATTTCAATATGGGTTCATCTGCATTAAGTTCACAGGATATTTAGTCAAATTGGCAACTTTTGTTAATTGGCAAAGTGTAGGCTGGATAAATAAACTTGGCTGATATTGGACTGTCACTTAGAGGGGTAAATCTTGTACACAAGATCTTGAATTTGAAGACCTTCTCAATGTGATCAACCATGTTTGGAAAGAATGAGTTTCTGTCCTTCCCCTGTGCCTAATTGGCTTCCTCAGGTGTGCTGGACTGTTTGTCTTGTAGCTTAGCTATAGCTTAGACTGCAACTGTTTCTTCTTGTAGTACAGAGTGTGGCATCATGTGCATCAAGGTGCTTTCCATTTTCCGGGATCCATTGCAGCAGCACTGCAGTAGCTGGGTGAGTCCAGAGCATGGAAAGCAGCTATCTTTCACAATGCCATGATCGTGGTCATGATGCAAATTACCTCAGGACATGAAACCTTCTTTGTTTGCTTACAAAGGTGCTTTTTAAAGGTAAAGTATGCAGTTTCTGTGCTATAGTGTGACCTAGTGGAATTATAAAAATAAAGCATATTTCCGAAACAACCTTTGTAAATGCCCTTTACACTCATCACGCCCTTTTAATGCATTTTGATCATTCTTATCCTTAGAGTATCTTACTATTTTATCTGGGGCTTGACCGTTAAGAGCCAACATGTTTGGCAAAAACTTGAGACTGTAAGGGGCTGTTTACACGACAACGTTTTCAGCCAAAAACAGGAAACTTTTTATGCGTTTTGCCTGTTCGTTTACACGACAACGGCGTTTTGGGGACTGAAAACGCATATTTTTGAAAACGGGTTTCAAAGTGCTAGTTTTTGAAAATGGCACCTTTATCATTTCTGTGTAAACACCCAATACGGGAATCTTTGAAAACGCTGACGTCATGCACATGCGTAGTACGTGTTAGGTATGTAGACATGTGCAGTACGTGTCGATTTTAAAGGCAAGCGCAAACAAACATACACAACAATGGCATATATGATACTGTTGTTGCTGCTCAAGAATTTGCTAACGCTTCTTCAGCAAAGTGTGGATTTACTTCACCAATATTACAACCAACAGTGGAGATGCATCATATATATTATATAATCGTCACTTCCCTATAGGTACTGTTTACTTACAAGATTGACAGCGCCAACTACTGGTCTGGCATACGTAATTCAGCGTTTTTGGCCGTTTTCGCGGATGTGTGTAAACGCGAATCGTTTTGAAAATGTTGTCATGTATACCTTAAACTTTTTAAAAATGCAAGGGAAAAACTTTTCCGTATTTGACTACATTGTTGTCGTGTAAACGTAGCCTAAGTCTTTCCCTCACAGTCTTGTTTTCATCCGTGTTAAATTCAATATGACAGCTCCAAATTCCTCCATCTTGTTTAAAACACTTACCTTTGTATATGCCATTGTCTGTCTTTGTGTATTTTGGCAAGTTTTGAGTTTGGACTTGCACTTCTGTAACCGAATCTGAATTTTTCCCCCTGTAATGCATCAGCCATGTACCCACACAGGATAAACGCCCACTGGCTCAGCCTGCTACAGTCACCACTCCCCAAACTATCACTATTCGTTTAGCTAGAAACAGATTGACGGATCTGAGCAGACCGCTCTAAATATTTTGTTGGTGCCTGGGAGGCTCAACGTTTACATTTTAGGGGAGATAACCCCTTGAATGGCATATTTAGTCAATGAACAACTCTGTGAAGAAAATATATTTTGACATAAACAAATCTTACAAAACTTCAACTTTAAATGAATATGTCACCCAAAAATGAAAATGTCCTGATTATTTACTCACCCCCAGGCCACGCAAGATAGATTTATTTTCTTCCGCTGAGGAGAAATTAAGGTTTTGGAGAAAAACATTCCAGGATTTTGCAATCTCTTT